AGGCAGGCAGGGGTGGGGAGAGGCAGGGAGGAAGGAACTTACCCTCCCTCTTCTCCTGCCTCCTCCTGGCTGAATGAGGGCCGGAAGCGGGGCGGCCGGAAGCGGGGGGCGGGGCTTCGTTATGTGCCCCGCCCCCGTACCTCACCCGGGGGAACTGCGATCCCCCGCGATCCCCTCCGAAATGACCTCTGGTGCCAGATAAAAGCTTTAAACATCAGACAAGCGGACATTCCACGGAAATAAACAAATGCAAAGTCATCTTGCCTAGCCCTGTCTTTTGATTGTTTTTCGTATTAAATTTTTGCCATCTGTTACGCTGCTTAGCCCCTCAAATAATTTTCATCTTAACAAGCCCTAAGTAGATGTTACAAGGGATCACCAACACACACTTCCAACCTGCCAACAGCAACGTCGCTACTAAAAAATGACATCGGACACATGAGCCATCAAGCTCAAACAATTTCTCCCTGCAAATGATAGTCAGTTAAGTACGGCAGGAGCAGGGTAAATGAGTACAATGATGTCACATCAGCCACTCCCCATTATTAGAAGATGCTAGGGAGACATGGTCAGAGGCAAGATTTAGAGATGCAAGTCAGCGGCAGCCAGCCTTCTCGCAGAATTTTTAGTTTGGGTCTCAATGGCTAGAACCAGTGAGCTGGCCAAGGTAGGTCTAGTAACAAGTGTGGAATCTATGAACAGTTTTGTTCTATAGTCTAAAATGGCATACCTGGAGGAAATAAGAGACTATAATGAGATGAATGGTAACACTTCTCAGTAGTCCTACGTATCCACTCCAGGGGGCCTTAAGCTGTACTCAATAAACGGGACTCTGACACCAACACAAATAGTAGAACTTTCATGACATTGAATTGTAACACTAGTTTAATTCCACACTGTTTATGACCCTGTTTGACGGCCTGTTTGACGTTTTCATTCAGGCCGGAGGGTGTGTGTGTTTTGTTTGGTTAACACTATATCTTGCATTGGTACTGTGTGATATTACTGTACTTTTGGAAAAATTTGAAATAAACACAATGTTTAAAAATAAATTAGTAGAACTTGCAACTCAAGATTTCTAAACATGGTATTAAGATACTTGGGTGCCCAGTAGTCCCTCAGGCTTTGAAATATATAAGGAAGTAGTAAGAATATTTTTTCTAATTAATTTAAACCTCTTTGATTATAGTATATAATATATGAAGATGCTTATCTGCTTTGGCTTTGGCCAATTTCCTCCTGTTCACACCTGCTATAGCTAAAAATTTCACTTTAATAGTGCAATTCTGATCCTTTGGGATTATTTTGATATGCATCTGGAGGGAAAGGCAAACATAGCAATACCTATGGAAGAATTCCCATTTTAAACAGACCAAGAGCATGTCCATGTTTTCTTAACTTTAAGGCTACCTCCGCCAAATGTTTATGTTGCCTTATTGTATTTTTACACTTCAGACCTAAGTGCATGGCAATTTCCATTTATTTTAACATTATTTACTTCCAAGTAGTTAGGACTAGTCATAATTATATCAAGATTCTGGTATGCATGTTTCAGACAATGTATGGTTACTCCTCAGGATAATCTATATTTCTGGCCAGCTCACTCACTGATAGGGCTGCTGGTTTCCCTTGCCCGAGCTCTCATTTCCTGCTGCCACTTCTGAGGAAGGTGGGAGAAAAATAATCTTTTTTAAAAAATCACCATTGAGTGACAGTGTGATGTCACTTCCAGGGAAAACTAGGAAGTGATGTCAGTTCACTCAAGGAATTACAGGACACCCTGTGGTTTCACCATAGAGTTTCCTGTGATTCCTAGAAAGCTGTGATGTCACTTCTGGGGTTTTCCTGGAAGTGATATCACACCATTGTCTGCCAGTACCCTCCCCCCCATGTTTCCCCCCAGACCCCTGCTGATTGTGCCTGGCAACCCTCCTCACTGACTTTAACACACTAGACATGATAGGGACAGTCAGGTTTGTTGTTTATAGTCTTTCTCTGTTCACATATAAAGTATGTGTCTACTGTTCACAAAAAAGGTATGTTTGAGCATGGACAGCTGAATTCTTCCCATTCACTGCCTTATGATCCATTGCTTCACATATTTTTCATCTCTCCTCAGCACATACATCAGAAAAATGCCAGGCTGTGAAGAAAACACTTGAAGCAATAGAGCGTAGGGGGCTAAAGCAACCCCCCCCCACGCAGAAAGTAAAGGGGGGTGACCTGGTGGAGGGGAAGGGGGCTGGAAAGTGAACAAGCTGGGTAAAAAACAGAAAACACCCAGCGGTTGCCAGGCAGGGTGTTCTGGGGACTGCCCCCGGAAATAACATGGTTTGGGGTGGGCATGCTTCTAACCCACCAGAAAAGAAACATGATCACAGAAAAACTGGGGGCGCGGGAGGATTTGGCTCCAGTTGTCTGCTTATCGCTCACAGCAGTTCAGGGGCGGGGAGGAGCAATTGCTCTGGCTGAAAACCAGACCCACATAACCCGGTGAGACACTGTAGTGACCTCAGAGTTGCCACTACATGGCAATAAAATGATGCAGACAGCCAATGCGGTGTCAATACAATATAGGAATGGCTGCGGCAAGCAATGCAAAGAGAGATTTGTGAGACAATTTGAGACCGCCAGCACAGCGGCCAATGCAGAGACCAATGCAGATTGGACCTAAGATGCTGAAGTTACAGAATTAGCTCCCAATGTCATTTTACATCCACCAGCACTGCAGCAAGAAGACCGGGGGGGGGGGTTTGAAGAAAAAAGCCACCCTGAACTTTATATGAGCTCTGCTTCAGCCAATTATGTCATGGAGAAAAGAAAGAGAAGCTAAGAATCAACAGCTTAGGACTAAATCAGTAAAACCACTTAAAATGTGTTCCACTTTCAACAAACTGACTTTTCAGTCAACTGGTTGTGTATTAGGGTTGCCAAGTTGCGGTGGAGAATTGTGTGTCTTTGCAGAATCTGTGCCGCGGGGACGGCGAGACATGTTGCACCCGCCATCGCCAGGACATGACACTACACGTCACTCTGGCAACGGGGCTCCAAACAGCCCTGTTGCCAGAGCGACGCGTAGCATCATGTCCTGGCGACAGCGGTGCAATGCGTCTCGCCATCCCCACGGCACAGATTCCGCAAAGACATGCGGATCCCCCACCGCGATTTGGCGAGATTTGGGAGCCCTATTGTGTATGCAGATGTTTATTCCACTCTTTTCAATCACATAGATCAGGGATCCCCCAACCTTTTTGACCCTAAGAGAACATTTGGAGTACTGACATAACATGCTGGGCGCAGCCACAAAATGGCTTTCAGAAAAATGGCCACCACAGAAGGAGCCAGCCACAAAAGCACTGCTGCAGCTTCACACAGTGAAGATCTTTGTGTTTTGGTAGCAGCAGCTTCCAGTGCAACATTTAAAAAAAATCTGCATAACCGTTCAAATCTCCCTTAGCCAATCAGAAGCCCTTCTGGGCAAAAAGCCCAATCTGGTTCTAACCCACTTTCCAAAAACAGTTGGAGGGCATCAGGAAACTTGTTGGCAGGCTCCATGGCACCCATGGGCACCCTGCTGGGGAACCCTGGCTAAGCACTTCTGAGTTTTGATGATGAGCTTCATTTTTCTTTTGGGGATTTCGCTTGGTCTAAAAAGAAGCCATTATTGGAACAATCTGTGTTATACCAAATCTAGGAGCTGCGGTGGCTCAAGTGGTTAAGACGCTGAACTGCAGGCTGTGGAAGGTCGGTAGTTCAGCAGTTCGAGACCCGAGTGTGCCGCATGACGGAGTGAGCTCCCGTCTCTAGTTCCAGCTCCTGCCAACCTAGCAGTTTGAAAGCAAGAAATTGCAAGTAGATAAATAGGTACCACTTTGGTGGGAAGGTAACAGCGTTCCATGCGCCTTGGTGTTCAGTCATGCCGGCCACATGACCACGGAAACGTCTTCGGACAGCGCTGGCTCTTCGGCTTTGAAACGGAGATGAGCACCGCAACCCTAGAGTTGGACTCGACTGGCTTTCGAGCAAGGGAACCTTTACCTTTTATACCAAACCTAACTACCATATTAATGTTATAGGAAAGGATGCAATTTATGTTTTAGTTGCACGTCAACGACAACAAATATAGGGCCATCACATTTTTAAAAAAACATGTAGTAAACACGTGAACAGATGCAGTTCCTGGGAGTGTATATTCCATGTGTGCTTAAGTCATGTCGGAAAACACAGAAAGTATCTCTCCTTTTTTTGAACTTATAAAGTGGGAGGGGGAGCACCGCTTTATAACCGAGCAAGGCACCACAGTCCCCAAAGCTAGCAGAAGAGCGTGTGAAACACAGAACAGAAAAGTATAAAATACCACAGGCACACAATACAGTGTAGTGCTGGGAACCATGTGTCTTTTAATTAAAATCTTCATGGACCATAACCATCATTTAAAAATATTATTACAAGAACTTGATCCATTGTTTATGAGACCTTCCTGAGATCTTAATAGGAAATAGCTATTCCCTGATTTCATATGCTTATGAATCTAAACCAGCAACCAGAAACAGAAAAGCACACACATTAGGGGATTGTCAACTCTAAAAACTGCAGCCTGTCTGTCAATGTATTCATTATTGTTTCCGTAGACCCTCTGCCAGAGTCTGCCAATCAGTGATGGAAGAACAAAAAGGAACCAGTTTGGAAGATGATTTTGAAGCAACTGAGGCTACACATACAGGTAAAGGAGTGATGGTATAAAATCATTACCAAAGAATAAGATTCCTTTTATGTACCCCTTGTTTAACTGGTACATAGTAAAAACAACACTAGGGACACATAAAGGAGGTTGGGATCTTTGGGAGGTTAATGTGAAATATCCCCTGTCCTTGGGAGGGGGAGTAGGTGTCATTCTAATTGCCATACTTCACCCCAAGCCGCTACAAGCAAAGTTTGTCTGTGCAAGTTTCCTTTATATCCCTAAGAATTGTCCCCCAGCAACAAATGATAGCATACAGGTATTAGGTCGTTGGCTTGTTAGCAGGTAGGTTCAGACAAAAGCCCACTTTTTTTGTACATTTCATCCAAGCCAAGTCTCCCTTCATGATTACCCTCCAGTAGCAAAGTTCAGATAGTACCCACTTTGCAAGTAGTAGCTTGATGTGCTAGATTGAAAAAAATTACTTCCATGTTCCGATTGGCAAATGGCTGGTAGCATGGAAAGAACAAACTGACCTAAAATTATTATCTCCACCATACCCTGCTTGTTAGCTTGCCTGGAGCAGCAGTCAGACCATTATTCAAGATGGCGATGGATGAAACAGAATTTTGGTCAAACTCAGTGGGGCATCTGTTATGGCCTGGAGCATATGCTATACAAATATGACTTAGTAGAGAATGCTTTCCCAGCCCAAGGCCAAGAAGCCTATGTTGTACAAGTGTAGCAGCACTTAACAGAACAGAAATTTCCACACTTTCCCCTGTTGATTGTATAAAATGCACGGTTACAAAACAGACCTGCCTCAGTTGCTGTGCATATGATGCTGTGGTAGCATTCAGTGCATTATACTGACTTACAAACATTTTTTTTAATTTCAAAAATTATTGTTTTTTAAATGTGGAATACCCCTAATCACAAAATATACACAATTATTTCCAAACCAAAATTCACAAAGGAATCAGAATCGCAGCATTTCATCTAGAGTTGCACAACTACCAGTCTTCCAGATAACAAAATTCATGGTCCCATGATGCCTGTGGTATGACAGTGAAATGGGGCCACCCACAGGCAAGAGAGAGGAAATTGGCGTGGTCAAGCTTTCAGTCTACTTTCAATTCACCTTGAAACTGGATTTTACTGTGTGAAATGGCAAAATCCATTTGCAAACAATCACTGGATTGAAACTGCATTATTTAGCATGTGTGAAAGTACCCTGGGACTGAGGGATGTACAACATCCAGCACATAAACACTTAGCTAATTCCCACCTACTCACCAGTCTAGGATATTATGACCATTTCTGGGAATCTGACTACTTTGAAGCTAAGGGTCCTGGCAGAGAGTTTAAATAGGCCTAGAGCCAAATCATACATACATACCCCTCTCCCATCCCTGGGATCGGGAGGAAAAAAAAGACCACTCCCTTCAACAGAGGTTGTGTGTGTATGGGCAGCTGAAGCTTTTTACAACATGGAAGTAAATAATATCTGGGTAGCTGGCAACTACAATTTTAAAGCTTTCGCAATGGACACCCCCTTGTCCGTAATTTTTGTCCCATGAAAATACCAAGCACAGTCAGGCTCTGCCACCCAGCATATCAAGGTATTGCTCCATTTCCCTGTTGAGTCCTATACCATACCAGCAAGTTCATCCCCTGACCCTGCGTATCCAAGCTCTGCCCCCTGAATTCTGAAGGTCTCAAGAGACCCAGCAGTCATGCAGAGTATAAAGCAACAGTGTCCTTTTCTTCTCCTAGGACCTAAAGGGGTGATCCATGACTGGAGAAAGTTTAAATTAGAAAGTGAAAATAGAGATACCCTGCCTCTGAGCAAGAAAGAGATCCTTATCAGGCAAATGTCCTCACCCCATCGCTTGGACAACGAAAGCGAGACCAGAGACAGATTGATTCGGAAGGTAAGGAAAAAAACCCAACAAAATGCACAAGTAAAGTGATTCAATAGCTGGGGAACAGTCACAAGACTGGAGTAATTAAGACTTGAATTTGGACACCAGTTCTGATATCCTGTTCACTTATTGAATATTTCATTGCTAGTTCATACAACAATGTTGGTGGATTAAAAATGCAGGTACAGCAGATCAAGGCCAATCAGGCCCAGGGCTAGGTAGCCAGGCAATGGTGTTTATTGCCACACATTTAGCTTACAATAGCCACGTCCACCAAGTCATTACCCACTAAAACAATTTTCAGCAACTTTGTGACAATCCAGCAAATATGAACTAAGTTCTACGTCGTGATGATGTAATAGTATTTATTTCATTATTATATTTTTATTCTGCTTTTCAGGTCATGCTCAACCCATCTAATTTTCATTGCATTATTTTTTTCATATTAAATTGGCTAACGCAAATACAACCAAAACCAACAAGAAAGAAATATAATTTTAAACCAACAGGATTCTAGATGTATTTTTACAAGGATAAGTACATAACTTAAAACCATATGAGAGGGCAATTTTGAGCAGAAAGGCTGCTTTTCATTTTGAGTGCTTTGTTATATACCTGTGTCGGTATAATATTTGCTCCTCAGGCCTAGCGTACATATTTTATAAAATGAATGAGGCGGAAGAATCCTGAGGTGGCAGAATGGGCTGTATCTCTTTGAAGCTGAGAACACCATTTTGAAATGTTCCCCCATGTAACAAAATCAGCTTGGGTATGGGTGCGTGTGCATATAAAGAACTCTCTAGTCCAGTAGGCAGAAAGCCTAGTCCAGTCCCTTTAATAATGTGATGGTTTTCCACATTCAGCAAGTTTGTTTTTACACAGGGGAATGAACATAGAACAATGTGAGTCTCCCTCCCCCCCCCATTGGAATGATACAGGCCATTGTATCACCTCAGAAATCTGCCACCTCATTCTGCCCCATGTCTGGACCAGGTTTCACTCACCACCTGTCACAGATACTTACTTCAGATGGGTTTTGTGTTGGTTTGGTCATTTTAAACCACATTTGTTGTTGTTCAAAGCCATTTGTAGTGAAAGGCTTCAAACCAATACTGTTATTGTGATTTTGGCAAACACTGAATTAGGCACTTCCCAAATTACACAGTGGAACACTATGCTCTACAGCTTGAGGATGAACTCCTCCCCAACCTGTTGGTTGCCTCAGATTTGGTTCGTGTTTAGCACATATGGTAAGCACAATGTGCATAAAGTTAGTTTGAGGGGTGTCTAAAGCGGTATCCTTTATAGTATAGTTCAGGCAATATTTTAAAATATGTGTTTATTTTTTTTCTGCTTGAGTTTATCTAAGTGTTAAGGCAGACCCTGCCTTGGTGTAGTAATGTAACCAAGCTATTACCTGGGTTTCGTCTCAGTTATCTCCCTGAGCAACATACCATAAAGCAAAAGAAGGCTTTATTGAAGAGATTCAGGGGGGAAAAGTATAAAAACAAGGCATATAGTTCAGTGGTAGTAACATGCACAGAAACAAGAAAGGTGACTAGCTACCTTTTACTGGAGTCCTGACACAGCATAGTTGGTTCCTAAAGGAAACAGCCCTAATTCAAGTATCTTCCTGGCAGCAAGGAGAGGTGGGGGGGAAAGGTTAAAGGGCTGGATAACATAACACCCCTTCTCACTAGCCATACTTATAGAAAGCTGCAGGCCATAACCTCCTGACCTCTTCAACCAATCACTGGGCATTATCCATGGAATTTTCCAGGGTGAGAGCAAGTCCCCCCAACCAGATTCACAGCTGAACTGTGTGAGCCTAATTAGCAGGCTTCGGTGGGCGACCTTGAGAAATATCTGCCAGTGTGTGAGGTGACTAACACCTGCAGAGAATCAGAGAGCAGTGAATTTAGCTGGAACAAACTGGAAAATTCTTTTGAGACAGCTTCTGTCTTGACACTGAGGAACTATTTGACTCACAGTGCAACCCTATGCAAGATACATGGGAGAATGCCTCACTGTATACTGTGGGACTTCCAAAGTAAACCTGCTTTGGACTGTACTGTTAATGTTTGCATTGCTTTTGGATTTTTAAACTTGCTAGCTGTTTGTATCTATGCTTCTTCTGGCTGACTTATATCTTGCCTTTTGGTTATAAGTAGAAGACCTCTTTTTAAAAAATGAAAAATAAAATATTGAATCAATTGCTGCTGAAAACCCTGTGCAAGAATTCAGGTTCAACGGACAGAATTATGAAGAAATTTGAAGTGAACTTCAAATGAACTTTATTTTACCTCCTCTCAAGTCCTGTCAGAGTTCCATGTAATTTGAAAGGGACAAATGCTTTCTTTCTCCAACCTCCACTGCAAATACATGATGGTCTAATCAAAGGGCATCAGTTTGTCTACTTTTTATGTCATTAAGTGGGACCAAATGAGAACATTTGTGTTATCCAACAGGAAGCACATTAGAGGGGGAAATTCTCTTAAGTGAAAATGAACACTAGAATGGTTCTGTTAGCAAGACAGCTGCCAGAAATAAGGAGTCAAGGGTTGGAAAGTCTCCTGAGACTCCTACCCTTACACTAAGGGAGTAAAACCTGAAAGCTAAATGGCGATGTTTTGGAAAACAAGGGAATCTGGTAAAGACTGAATACTGGAAAAGCTGGATGGTTTCCACACTACACAGGAATTTTTCCCTGGTGGAACATAGTAGCATGCTCTTGTTTTCCAGAGAGCCTCCACGTGATATTGTGCTCTTTCCATGAACAACTTTGAGGCTCCCAGGGATTTCCCCTTTAAGCTGGAGCAAAGAAAAACTTCTTTTACTCCAGAGAAACAAACAGCAAGGTGGGTGCTGCAGTTAGAGCCTCCATGAGAAAGTCCTGCCTTCAGTCTGTCTGTGGAGCTTCGTACTGCTTTCAAACTGGCGGTATTGGAACTTCCAGCTCCAGCATTTCTTCCTCCTTTTAGCCCTTGAACTGGGCCTTTTTTCTTTAACAACAGAGGCACAGCCCAGCTGTTCATGGGGATTGTGCTGGGCTATGTGTAGCAAAATGCAGACAACAGGAATAAGTAAGGATGGGCAACTCCAGCGGCTGGTGGCCGAGGAATGCCAATTGCTACCTCTTCATGCCTCCGTCTTGCTCACTGCTATTTCCACAGCAGAGGGTGGCTTCTGTTAGAAGTGGAGGACTTTGTGCTGTCTCCTGTCTCAAACTTGAGAAGATGGCACCATAGAGTTTAGACAGATAGAGAGGCCAGGACACACAAAGCATACTTTCCTTCTTACTGTCTGATGCTTTCCTTTGAAGTAGAATGCTACTCTTAGGGGCAATTTCCTCTGCTTCTGTTCTCACACACTCCTCTCTCTCACACGCACACAAAGAAGGTGTTTGATCTCCATCTTGCACCATGGAGGCTGGACATACGTCCAACATCTAGTTAGTTAGAATAGGTAATCTATATCTCTTACCTGCACTCTCAGACATGTATTTCCTTTAATAAAACTTACTTATTAGTTTTAGATCTGACAGCTGACTCCGTTTAACTTTGTCTTTTGCCACACCTAGCCCCAAGCTCTGCTGCATTAAAGCCTTTGAGCACTCTGCTACTTTTCCGTGTTTCCCTGGCAGTACCAAGTCCAGAGAATCCAACGGCTTCTTCCCACCCTGAGTGCAACTTTGGTTGGGCCTTTTGCCTTTTGGGGTGGAGGCTTTTGCAGGGTTACCAGTGAGAGGACAGGATGGGTACAAAAAGCTGTCAAGCCAAATATAATGCCGCCTTTATTGTGGCCTCTCACCAAGAGATTTATCCCCCCTGGAGAACCTGAGAAGGCTAAAATGTTGATCCTAGAGGGTTCTTCTCCCTTTTCTATAAGGTCCTGGGAGTGCAATTGAAAAGTACTCAGAACGTGGAGTGATTCAGCAAGAGTGATTCAGCAAGAGTACTTTATTAGATCAGGAACAAGACAAAGAAACCAGCTCGCAGGCCGGTTTATATGCGTTCAGAAAACCCGCCACCAAGCACACCTAAACACACCCCCTACTCCCGATAGGCTATTTACAGTAACCGGGCGACCATTGGTCTCCCGGCTGGGAAGCTGGCCCTTTGATTGGGCCGGCTAGGATCCTATGGATCCTTTGTCTTTCGACTGAAGCTACTGAGGAGTATTGCCTGGTCAGCCCGGGCAAGTCCGGGCATGTCAGGCTGAATGCACTACACGTGGTAATGGCGACAGTACATTACACAGGGCATCCTGCTTTCCCTTATCATAACAAAGGCAGGCACCTTTAAGCCATGAGGGCTCCTGTCAGCACCACATAAGACCCCTTCTCCCCTCTTCCTAATTGTGGGATTTCTAGTGCTGCACCGCTGAGCTCCGCAGAAAGCCAAAGTACTTCTGCCACCTCTGAAGTCCAGTGAAAAACACTTCTCCTAGGTGTGGTTTCTCATCTCATGCTACTGAGTTCCCAGCCTCAAAGCAAACATTCATTATTTCTGCCTGCTTCAAAGCTCAGCATAGTACCAGAGACACCCTATGTGGTGGATCTGGGATGGGGAGTGGAGTCAGTAGTGACCACAAATACTAGAAAGCCAAGTCAAAATAGTGTCAACAGTGAAGAATGAAGCAACAACGATGGGCTGCATTTCCATAAAGACAGGATCACTATGAGGTAAAAAAAAAAAAATGCCTCAGAGCCAATGGCCAATCAGGATTCCACTAAATTTTTTATTTAGCATAGCAGTGACCTATTTACATGCACAGCACTGTCCTGATATTGAAAGAGCTTTTCATAAAGGCAGACAGGTAAGAAAACTGCACCTGAAGAACAACCCAACTCAGAGGCAAACTAGATGTTACAAATGCCCAACCCAACTCACTATCATATGTAACAAACCACATGACGTGGGCTTACGCACTTTAAAAGCACAGCATTGCTCTGTTGGGCTCCAGAGAGCTGTAAAGGGGGAGAAGGGGTTTCCAGTTTCCTTCCTGTG